AGTTTTTCTTCTTGCTGAGAAGCTGTAGGTGGTTGTTTGATTTTTTTTTTTTTTTGGTTTGTTTGTTTAATAAATAAAAAAACCCAGCAGACAGCCACCATGGAATTGAATGATGCTATTTATCACTTATCTCCTGTTGCTACAGAGCTAGCAGAAGTATAAAAGCATAAAAGAAAGCTTTAGAAGAGGAGTAATTTTCTTAATGTTAAGACATGATTCTCTTAAGAAAATACTTGCAATCAGCATCCAAGTGTGTACAACAGCAGCATTGTGGAAGGCAAAATTGGCTGCTTCACAGTGTTCAGCATGAAGTAGATTGCTGAGGTACTATAGTTCTCCCACACTGTTATTAAATGACAAATTCTGTCCACTGCTGAAGACCATAGGAAGTGATCAGTCTATGAAGACTCGTCTAGTCCCTTATTGATCAAAATAGGGAAAATCCATGTGTCCACATTTGAAATGTAAGCTGTTGCATGTGGTGATTCAAACCCTGCCCACTCACTAGTTTGCTTATATTTTAGAGGTTCCTTTTTCAGATCAATTTGCAGGCAACACACCAATGTGTGTAAAAAGAAATGATACTTGTGTGCAAAGTAAAGTAAAAAAAAAGGAAAGGAGAAGAAAATTACAAAGAAGCCTAGGGTAAATACTGCAAGAATTAAGTTCTTATTTGTAGGCGACTAGAGAAGAAGAAAACTACTGCAGTTGAGTGACAGTAAGACTTATGAAAGAAGCATTAGCAGAGGGGAAAATGTATTGTATTTTAGCCTACATTCCATTAAAATAAACAATAGGGCCAAAGTGCATCTTTGTATTCATAGTGCTGACCATTGCTTGGCTTGCACTAGTATTGAGTAATCTCTCATTTCATCAATGCTGGGTTTACTAGGACTTCTCTAAATCTTACAAGACTGTATATTTTCAGTGATCCCACACTAGAGCTTCTCCCATACAGCTATTTCTAGCTACCACACTAGCTGTTGCTTTATTGGTGTTAGTCATTATACAGGCACAAACTGATGACTCAGTAATTTTATTTTCTGAATCTCGTTCTATTTTTTTTCCTTTTTCAAAAAACACATTCATTAAGCCTCTGATTTTTAAGGGAAGCTGTCCAACAGTTTAAAATAGTCTAATAGAAATGTTTTTTTCCATTTTTATATACTGTTGTATTAAATAATGTAAACCCAATGAACCACTTAACATGAACTTATCTGAATGTATTGTTTTCAGTGGAACTGATTTTATGTGCTGAATGCAGAATGTTAGAAAGAAAAAAAAAAACCCAAGAAGCTGTTTCACATACAATCCGTATGAATGGTATGTGAATTTAATTTCCTCTTAGATGAATAGCTTGGCTGGAGAGTGTTCATTCTGTCATGAAAAAAAATGAATACAGATTTAAAAAAAATAAAGATTATGCACTAGAGTTCATTTGACAGTTATGAGTAATCAAATGAAGCGATAAGTACATTGACACTTTGTTTACAAAGTAAAAAACACAATATAACAGTAGGTTTTTTAAAATAACAAGCTTTATAAACAGCAGTGAACAGGAACAAATTCATTTTTTTTCCAAAGAAATACTTATTTTTCTAAAGTTACACCCCATCCCAGCTGACTGTGCTCTTCTCCCATCTGACAGGGAAGAAGGGTCAGAAAAGTCAACCAGCTATTTCTCCTGAGTTGCTTCCAGCTATAAGCTTCAACCTTGCTGCAGAGCAGGAGTTTTATTCTGGACTCTCCTTGCTTAGCCAGCTCTAGTGTTAGATCAGGCAAAACAAGGACAGCCTATATCATAAATCCTATTTTTACACTGGACTTGCAGCATTTGGCTGTCGCTGAGCAAAATATCTTGTTTTTCTTCCATCATGACAATGGAGATGGGAAAGAGATCCCTTTCTTCTGGCCTTCAGCATGGAGAGAAATCCCTGCTCTGTTTGTACAGAAAATCTTCCATGACTGAGTCAATCCCTGAGGAGTTCTCCTTCCCTTGCATCGAAAACATTTGAATGGAAGTTGAAACTTGTATAGCACTGTACTGTTAAGCAGACACCACCATTCCTTACACAGGTGGATGAAATGACCACTCTATTGCAGCTCAGTCTCTAAAAGTATTTCAGGATCCTTCTGTGTGAAAAGTGCTATATAAATGTAGGATCAGCAGCTGCACAAGGAAGCCTTGGAGTTCTTCCTGAAGAACAACCTAGACAGAGACTGGACAGAAGGAGTAGTAACAGAGGCCCATCTATTCACCTCTCAGAAATAGGGAGGCTCTGGGGGTGGGGAGTAAGGTGAAGAACTGAAAGAGAGCTCATTCGACTTCAAACAGCCAAAGTGAGTCAGGATCTTCAAATTTATCCAGCATCTGTGAGCCAGAGATTATATAAAAAGAGAAGGCCCTAACAGGGTCCAGGGACAGCAACCTAGTAATAATCTGGAACTTTCCACATTCACATCTGGAAGAGAGTGATAGTTTGCTCACCATGCTGCTGTCCCTGGATCTCACTTGTTCCAGACCTGTGCTGCCTTGATAACTTTTCTATCTACTTCTAGCCTAGTAGGTGTCCTGTACATTTTTCAAGCTCCAGTTTATGCAACATTTTACTATTTAGGAGTTAATTTTCCACTTGGCTCTTTCCTCATGTTAGTGATTCCACAATTCTAATAAAGGTTTCTAGTTAGCTGACTGTTATGAGTTTTGTGACCAGCTGTACATGGTTCCTAGAAGTGCAGCATGAACCTAGACATTCCATGTGTTGGAGATGTGGGAAAAATACTTTCAAGCTGGCACGTGCAAACAAATGGACAGGGTTTATCTTTTAATTAATTTATCTGGCTGGTTGCCCTCTACATGGTAGAGACAGAAAACATTATGGTTTCTGGAGTGGCACGCAGGTAGATAAGGTCCATGACATCCCTTAAAGTTGTAGTGTATTATTTTTCCACCAACTGAAAAAAAGTGATGCATAACTCAGCAATCTCAGAGGATATATTGGAATATTAAGATTAAATAAAGATACTTGATTATTCATTAGACGAGTTCGCCAGATTTTATCAGCACCATTTTTCTCCTTTTGAGATATTTTATCTGTAAAGGGAGTGTGTGTTAGGAATTGATTGGTCAGGTCTCTTGGGCTTTTGAACCTTGCTCTTTGTATAAGTTACAGTAACATCAATTGATTTTATTTCCTCATTTATTCATTTTTATTTCCTCTTTGTATTGATTCCTTTGGTACTTGGAACATGTTCATTATTACTGAAACTGCAACTCCGTATTTAGAGGCCCAACTTGTGCATGAATAAATTCATATACCAAGTCAGTGATATGATGTTACTTTTCAGGAAGTGACATATTTCACAGTTGTTGCCTGATACACCGATACATAGAACACCATTACCTTCTTCAGATGCAGTAATACAATTACAAAAATACTTAAAGGTCTATTAAACGTGCATAAAAGAGAGATTAGACCATTTAGTGCATAGCAGATGGAATGTCTGGATTTTGTGGAAATATTGCTGTTAGGAAAGACCCTGGTTAATCAAGTTTAACTACAGTTCAATGTACAGTTTGTGCTATTTTAATAAATTAAAGTATGTATTTAAATTGTCACTTTTCTAGTAGCAGGCAAACAAGGGTGAGGCAAGTTTCTTGAATTATTATTAAGGTTGTTTTGTACCTAAACCTAAAGCCTTTTAGGGTACCCTAAATCAAAAATATCCATAGCTGTCTATGGTTTCTGGTTAGGTGGGAGATTGATTTTCCTAGATATATGTTTCCCCCGTCTCTTGCACGCCAGAGAACAATGGTCTGTGGAAGGACCCTCCACGGCAATGTGCAGGGATGTGGAGAATGGTATAAGGCCCTGGCTAGTGTCATACAGACAGAGTTTAAGGCCAGAATGGACCATCAGATCACGTAGTCTGACCTCCTGTATATCACAGGCCACCAACATAGCCCAGGACCCATACACTAAACCCCAACAACCAAAGTTAAAACCAAAGTATTACAGCCCAAAGGAGGCGAAACTATTGTGTGCATCAAGCGAAGAATTGGAGGAACCAAAGTGCACCAAAGTCCCTGCAATGGCAAGAAACTGATTAAGTGAGATATACCCAGATGATTCCAGCAAGGGACCTGTGCCCCATGTTGCAGAGGTAGCCCCCCCCCCCCTCAAATCACTGTTAATCTGACCTGGGGGGAAATTCCTTCCTAACCCCACATATGGAAATCAGTCAGACTCCGAGCATGTGAGCACAAACCAGTCAGCAAAGTAACAGGGTGAGTTTGTGACTATGAAAAACCACTAGCTAAAGCCATTTCTTAGGGATGTAGTGGGCGGATAGATGCTATAGCAGACCCTGTGGATGTAGAGGTGTTGAAAGCCCTGCTATTGGCTAGAAGGGTAAGAGTCTCTTCAACCTCCAAAAAGTTGTTCAGGAGTGGATAGTAACTCCCGTAAATTCTCACCTTGGCTTTCCAAACTCCAGGGCCTTCTCTTCTAGCCCTGCCCATCAACCATGCTGGCTTCACATAGCTAGCAGAAATTACTTAAAAATGAACTCAAGCTGAGTGTACCATGAGGGGAGACCGAGCACTCCCTCCCTAGTCTAAGGAGCAGGAATGTTTAAAATAAAAATCCACACCTCAAAGAGGGTGTGGAGATACCAAGCTGTGGCTGGAGGGCCTCTCCACCCCCCTTCCACCTCAATATCATTGTACAGAGTTTGCCCAAATTAGAGTGGCAGATTCCCACTCTTCTTCGAATAGCTTATGTTTTAGTAGGCACAGGGTGGGAAGTAATTTTTCAGCCCAGTTAGTCTCTCTCTCTCCTCCTGGACTAGGAGAGTGTTTTTAAAAACCTGAATTTTATCCCATCTGTTAGCCCGAGACAGTTAAGACTAGGTTTTATTTCACAGAAGATGGGCTAGCTGCAGTACTCTACCCTCCTCCACATCTATCAGTGTTTTAGTGTAGTTAAGAAACAGGCAGGTTAAGGTTGCAAATAATAAAATGGTGTTTATTGAGATACACAAAAACAAAACTAGGACTCCCTACAACTAAGATAACACAAAGAATAACTGCTCGGTTGTTAACACAAATGGTATAATGGGGGGATGAACCCCAGAGCCCAAACCCTTACAGAGTGGGGTTTACAAAAATGACAGAGAAGGACTATACCATGTCTTGCAGACACTAGCCAGGAGAACAGGAACACAGATGGGAACCAGGACCTCATGGAAGGATTAGGATCACAACAGGAATCGGAGTTCAGGAAACTCTGCGACAGGTAAGTACATCTTTGGTAGGATGTCTTCTGACTTCTACTCTTGACCTCGATGTCCTGTGTGCTGAATGCAGACACTACACTGTGTGGTGGTTTAATAGGTGAGTGAGGGTAAGTCCAAAGGAACCTTATTAGGTGTTACTGGTCCACCTAAGTCTTATTCCCTCAGAGCTCTAGCTCCCAGCAAGGCCAGTGCTGTGGGAGGGATTCTATGCCTCACTGGGATAACCTGCTTTCACAGCATCCAGAGACACAGAAAGAACCCCCCTTCAGAGTTTGAACACACCCTTACATACGTTCCCTGTTGCTAGGCAGATTTCACTATCTTTCCTGCCTTTCCCTCTGCTTTGGCACCAAACTTGAAAAAGAGTGCCAAGAGCTGAAGGAGAAGGGGTGCCAAGATCGAGGACTGGCTGTCCTTTTACCAATCCAAAATGGCAGCTATGTACACTTAATAAACTGAACTTTTTCTACCCAACACATCCACAGATACCATTTGGAAAGGTGACCTGATACAAACCTAGATAGAGCAAGGTTATGAAAGTCAATGGGACTATTACATTCAATCACACCCTTGCTTAGTCCGTTCTAGGAAAATCCCATTCGTGAATCAGCCTTCTGGCCAGGTGACGTTTTCAAGTCCTCCCCTTGCAGGGTATATATACGGAGTCCAATATTGGGAAGTCTTCAGGATTAAGCAAGGGAATCAGGGCTTCTTCCTTGGGTCAGGGTGTCATGGTTCACACCCTTGTATTTTCAGGATCTTCCCCTGTCATAAATATAAAGGGAAGGGTAAACCCCTTTAAAATCCCTCCTGGCCAGAGGAAAAATCCTCTCACCTGTAAAGGGTTAAGAAGCTAAAGGTAACTTTGCTGGCACCTGACCAAAATGACCAATGAGGAGAAAAGATACTTTCAAAAGCTGGGAGGAGGGAGAGAAACAAAGGGTCTGTGTCTGTCGGTATGCTGCTTTTGCCGGGGATAGACCAGGAATGGAGTCTTAGAACTTTAGTAAGTAATCTAGCTAGGTATGTGTTAGATTATGATTTCTTTAAATGGCTGAGAAAAGAATTGTGCTGAATAGAATGACTATTTCTGTCTGTGTGTCTTTTTTGTAACTTAAGGTTTTGCCTAGAGGGATTCTCAATGTTTTGAATCTAATTACCCTGTAAGGTATCTAGCATCCTGATTTTACAGAGGTGATTCCTTTACTTCTATTTCTATTAAAAGTCTTCTTGTAAGAAAACTGAATGCTTTTTCATTGTTCTCAGATCCAAGGGTTTGGGTCTGTGGTCACCTATGCAAATTGGTGAAGATTTTTACCAAACCTTTCCCAGGAAGTGGGGTGCAAGGGTTGGGAGGATTTTCGGGGGAAAGACGTGTCCAAACTACGTTTCCCAGTAAACCCAGTTAGTTAGAGTTTGGTGGTGGCAGTGGATATTCCAAGGACAAAAGGATAAAATTAATTTGTACCTTGTGGAAGTTTTAACCTAAGCTGGTAAAAGTAAGCTTAGGAGGTTTTCATGCAGGTCCCCACATCTGTACCCTAGAGTTCAGAGTGGGGGAGGAACCTTGACATCCCCTCACCCAATTCCCCATTAAAGGATTGACTTCCATATTTGTACCTCTTTAGAGGTTGGTAGAAAAGCCTGGGCTCACCCTCTCCACCAGGCTCCAATCCAGGGTGCAATGGTAGGCAGCTAAGTCCTGCACCCTCAGGTGCTATATGGCTGTGTCCCTGGATCGCTTCCTACCAGTCCCCTCTTTATCCCGTGGGTAAAAAAGAACTAAACAAAAAATGAATCTCTGAAATCTACAGAATCACAAGCCCCTTTTTTGTAGGCTTGGTCAGGTCAATATAGCCAGGCCTCAGGCAGCAGGAGCTCAGAGTATAGGTCAGCTCTCCTCCACTGAGCTCCCCTTTTTGAGCTCCTCTAGCCTGTGCAAGTACAGTGGGGCATGTCTACCTGCGCCCAGAGTAGCTCTTTAACCCATTCATTTCCAGTGTGTGGTTTGTGCACTCCTTCAGTCACTTACTAGGTTAATAGGAGTTGTATGATTGAATTTTACTGCAGCTAGTTGAGAATATTCATGGTAGTTGAATGCACTGAAGTGACTACATTCCTTAGCGACTGATTCTTCGAAGAATTTCTGTTGTGATGGCTTCCCACTCATTTAAAATGTTTCCAAGTGACCTCTTTTTCTAAGGCTTGATGGCTTCTAAAATAGAAAAAGTGAAAGAGACTCATTAGTAAGAAAGAATAGACATGCACAATCGTACTCTTTCCACAAATGCATGTGTGTTACTAGGGATATTTTGAGATTTCCTGTTATTTATTTGAATTTAACATCCCCATTCAAAATCTGTTCTCTATTTATAACTTACTTAAGCAGGTATATTTGCAAATTAATGAATACAATATGTTTATATTATTATATCTCTTTAGGGAAAAGTAACAATTTAGTCTAAAGTGCTGCCACATTTGGCACACAGCTAATTAAACAGTTTACTGTGGAATAAACTGTTCGAGACTTATGACTTTTTAAAATCTAAAATACATTTGAGTGTAACGTTTGTCAGAACTCCTTGGGTCTGCAGAAAAAAATATTTCCCAGAAAGGCAAAAGCCTTGGTCTTAACTGACCTTTTTTCTACCATACAAGATAATCTTGGATAGAAAATGGAGGTGGGAGCTCTTGAATAATTTTCATTTTCTTGTCATACATCGCAGAAATGATATGTAAAGACTAAAATCTCATCAAAACCTATGAGCATGTAGAATACATCAGAGGTTCAGGGGTTCTCAAACTGGGGGGCGCAGAATGTATTCGGGGGGGCTTGAGAAGATTTGGGGGGGGGAACAACCAACCAACAACAACTTACTGCCCATATTTTATCCACAGCAATGAATAACTTACAAAACTGATTCCTCCAGACATATCAGGTCATCAGATGGCGCTGTGCATTTTGATGGATTTCTGTTAAGCTTGTATAGCATTATACAAAGTCATTGCCATCTGTACATTAATCCGTTTGCTATGACACAGTGTGCACATTTAATTGAAGGTGGACGGGGATCTCGAGATAGCTGTCTCAAGCATCCAACCCAGAAGGGAATTGCTCTGCTCCAAAAAAAGAAAAAAACAGACACACCCATCCCACTATTAACAGTGTGATGCAATTAAGCAGTATCTCACTTAAAATTTACATTACTATATACTTAAATTGGATCTGTTTAAATCAATGCCTTACTGGTTGTAATATTTAGTGAACTGCAGGTTTTAAAATCAATATATGTACTTGTGTGGCGGGAGGAGGGGATATAACCTACTTCAGACACAAAGAAGGGGGGCAGGATCAAATAAGTTTGAGAACCACTGGAATATACAGACCTTCCAGCAATTCAGTAACAATGCTTGGACAAATAATGACAACTAGATATTTTGGTTTCCTCATTTCACAAAACCTTAAACTATTATGCCATTTAGTGATTAGCAGGATTCTATTTCATGCCTCATATCAAAATTATTTGGGGTTTTTTGTTCCTCAGATATCTTTGTTCAGCCAGCTGTACTTCAGCACAGGAATACCTATTACCAGAAAGAAAGTATGTCATTCTGTTCATCCATACGTCAAGCCTTGCAAAGAAAAATATATATATATATATATCTTTCTGAATGATGTATCATTATCCTCAAAGCAAGGTGAATCTTCAGGACAGCAAAGCATAGGTAAGGAGACAATACTATTGAAACAACTGGTATTAAGTAGCAGAGACCAAAATTGAAAGGCCAAGATGATGGAACTGGCCTCTCGCCTTTATAGCTGGCTCCTGTTGTTCAGTTGAGACATTATTATTTCAGTAGTGCTCAGCAGCCCCAATCAGAATCAAGACCTCACTTGGCTGGCTGCTCTGTAAACATAAGACAGGCCAAAACTTTAGTTTACACTCTAAATAGGGACAAAGCGTGCCAGGTGGATATGGAACACAACAGAGGGAGAGGAGGGAGTCTGAATGCTTTAAATTGCCACAAACCATGCCGTACTTGCTATGAAAATAAAATACATCAATCTCCATTGCGGTCAATACAGCATTTCTCATACTGGGGTTCGCTGCTGATTTTTTGGGGGTGGGGGGGCAGAGGGGGACAACGATGACACAACTCCAGGACCTGCACCCAGTCCCTGGTTTCGCATTCTTTGTGCATGGCTATCTGAGTTCTAGGCTCTGTGGTCCCTCCGTCATCTGAGGGGGCAGGCCTTTTGTAGTTCTGGAAGGCTCTGCCAATCAACCCAGGAGTCAAATAGGTCAGCATCTCTTGTGAACTCTTTTTTTTTTTTTTTTTTTTTTAAATAAATGCATCTGAGTAATTTAATTTGACATAGTTCAGCGCAAGTCTGTTGGATCAATATGGTGTGTTACCTCAAAAAAAAAAAAAAAAAAGCACAAACACGACAGTGAGGATCATAAAGTAAGATACAACATCAACATCTTATCTCTTAAGGTCAAGTAAGAAGTGACCATAACAATAAGAGTCAACTTTTTGTTGCCATACAGAGATGCAAATATGAATCCAGTCTCAGGCCTAATGCTCGTCCACATGATGGTAGGGGACTGGGAGTACTGTGAAAGTAGGACACCTAGTCTGAGGGAAGAGAGGCATACACTACAGGCTCCTTGATGGTTGACCATAGATTGTAATTATAATTTCAAAAGTAGCAGTCTACTCTGGAAATCTCAGTACAGTGATACAGCTGACATGTGGGAAGCATGACCACAAAGAATGATGGACTGAGTGAAAATTTGTGCTTTAATTATACTAAACTGCTCCCCAAGTCTCTTTCCCATGGATCTGAGTGCCTTGGGCAATATTTCCTTATCACAGTCTCCCAGAGGGGAATAAACCCACTCTCTATAAAAAGAAACTAAAAAACTGAAATGGCAAACAATATTATGGAAAGTTCATTTCCTCATCTCCTGTGAAAGCACTAACATTACTTCACTTATTGTAGTCACTGGTTCTATACTTGTATGCTAATTTATTTTGATTGACATCAGTTATTACATAGAAAAAGTAAGAGAGGAGAAAAATCCCTTTCCAAATAGCTTTTGTGCTAAGCTCCAGTGCCTCAGCTGCTTGAATTCCTTACTTCAAGTTTGAAAAAAAAAAAGGATACTGGCCCAGCCAGGCAAGCAGCTAACCTTTCCTATGTACATTTATTCTGATGACATTCTTTTCCCCTAGGAAAAATTACTTCTTTACTTTGATATAATAAATGAGGCCATGGTTTTATCATGATCATTTTCAGAGAGTCATGTAGGACATATAAAGTCAAGTTACATTCCTACATCATAAGATTAACCCATATTTTTCGGTTTTTAGTAGAAACAAGAATGGTATACAAGGGGTTCCCAGTATACATCTCCCCCTTATCTGTTGTTTTGCATATCTGTCGCTCATCAATAGGGGAATGTGTTCAGATTCATGTCGGTTCTGATCCACATATCAGTCGTCGGCAGCCAGCGCCCTCCCTCTCCCCCGCAGCACCTCCCGTCTGCCAGCGGCCCCGTGGGCAACTGATCAATTCCTCCTCCCTCCCAGCGCCTCCTGCACGCCCTGATCAGCTGTTCAGCAGCATGCAGGAGGCACTGGGAGGGAGGAGGAGAAGCGGAGACAGGGTGTGCTCAGAGGAGGCGGTGGAATTGGGTGGGAAAAGGCGGGGAGGGTATCCGTCCCCGGTATCTGTCGTTTTGTTATCCATTGCCCTTTTCAAGAACGCAACCCGACATACCCTGGGAGCTATATGCTATATTCTGAGAGAGCCAGGAGCAGTTTTTGAACTTATTCTATACCCCCTCTTCACCTGCACTCATTTTAAAAAAAATCAAGGGCCATAAATGCAAAACAGCTTTTACACAACCATTCCCTATTTCAGATATTCTGCTTAAAATAATACTAGACAGACCTGAGCAATGGCATTGCTACTTAATACCTACAAAATTACTTAGAATATTTTTTATGTCTTCATGTGTGTCTCTGTAAATGGACTCTGTTGTACCTTGTGATTGGCAGATACAGAGTTTAAACACTGCTCCTGAACAGAAAAGCGGCCACTTATTTTATCTAGGTATCTTAGGTACTTACATGGCCCCCATTACTGTAGTACCTGAGCACCTCACAATCTTTAATGCATTTATCATCATCACATCCCTGTGAGGTAGGGCAGTACTATTAACCCATTTTACAGATGGGGTACTTCGACAAAGAGACTAAGGCCCAGATCCTCAAAGCTATCGCAATGGGAGTTGGGTGCCTAAATATATTTGAGGATCTAGGGCCAAGTGACTTATCTGAGGTCACATAGGAAGTCTGCATCAGATCAGGGAATTAAACCTGGGTCTTCTAAGTCCCAGGCTGGTACTATAACCACTGGATAATCTGTCCCCTCTTCTAGAACCTCAGGGGAACCCCACCACATGGGGAAAATGGGGCTGGCTGACCTGCAGATTATTTTTAAAGAAAACAAAACTTTTGTAGAAAATGTGTGTACATTTCTGTAAGGATCTATTCCTCAAAAATCAGAAAAAAAGACATGCAAACCTGAACAGTCACATGATCATATTTTGCCATAACCCTGATATGCCCTTCCCCACAGAATAGGCAGTGAAAGCCTTTCTGCTCACCCTTCACAATGTACCTCAGCTTTCCACTACAGAAAATCCATCTATAGGTGTGAGAGAACTCTTTCAATCTTTGACTTCCTCTGTCAAGACTAAAAACAAAATTTCCCTTCAATTTCAAAACAGGTCCTTTTTTGTTACGGGATGACTGTGTATTAGGAACTCGAGTGAGACTACCAAATTCATTCCACAGATATCAAACAGCCTGCAAATGGCAGCATCATGATTAACCTTGGACTGGATTTGAACCTACTACAACCTAGATGCTAAAAGCGCTTGGTACTAATTACCTGAGCTATCTAGTCCAAACAGAAGGTTTCTTTTCTGTTACAGCAATTGGTCCGGAAGCATGTCCAGCTAATTCCAGATGCAGCCTGACAGTATGTTGGCCAAGCTCTGAAAGGCAACCTTTATCCTATAATTATTTTGATTTGGGTTCTGACTCTTTCAGCCCCTGAGAAAAATTCGAAAATATTTTTCGAATAATGTATCCTAAGTATATTTCTCTGAGATGATATATTGCACTAAGGCATCATTCACAACATAATTTCAGTCTGATAATGTGTTATTTAAAAGATGTCAGCATTATGGAGAGGAAACAATTTGGAGATTAGCTCAGTTTAGGTATGGGACAAATATGTCATCTTGCCACTCCTTGGCAGAAGTTTCAGCACCATAGAAATATAAAATACTTGTCCCTTGTTTCCTGTGACATATCTATGTTTAAATGTATGGCTCAGTTGTAATTGCAAGTTGCTGGAGCTCTGACCAACTAAGATATTGATTAAATTGAGGTCTATCTAGTATGCAAATATTATAGTTATTGCATACATGGCATTGATCCAGCAGGAAAAAATGTCAGCACTTCCAGCACTCTGAAAATGATTGACTTTGCAGAGGAGTCTATGAGATTGCTATGGAAGTTCTACCCTGCAATCCTCAGCCCTTACCCAAAACATATAAATAATGGCCACAAGATCTTTATCCACCATTTGCAGAGTGGTATGGGATTGTGGGAGTGAGGAGGTTTATCCCTTACTCTGTATAATTTTATCACTTGACTCCAGAAGACAAAACACTACTCACTGGAATAAAAGAATATTCTACTCTCTTCCTAATTGTTTTATATGCCAAAATTTGCCAGATAGTCTAAACTCTTCTACTATTTGACTCCATTCCCAGCTTTTAATTTGCCTAACATCTACATTCTTACCATTCCCACTTTAAAGGAACCTAGTCCCTGTGAAGAGGGCCAGCAAAGATGCTATCTGCTCCTAGTAGTTGCCCAAGCCCCCAGTGAGACACCTTTGATAAATTAGAGAGATTTAGAAATTAGTCAATCTCTACACAGTAAACATGATATGCACCTTATAACTTCCTCATATGTCAAATATACATAGAGAATTTATTAAAAT